AACACAACACACACACATATATAAAACACAACACACACACATATATATATATAAAACACACACACATATATATAAAACACAACACACACGTGTCACACACACGTGTGTCACACACACATATATAAATATATAACACAACACACACACATATATAAACACATAACACAACACACACACGTATATATAACACAACACACACACATATATATAACACAACACACACACATATATAACACAACACACACACATATAACACAACACACATATATAACACAACACACACACACATATATAACACAACACACACACATATATAACACAACACACACATATATATAACACAACACACACATATATAAAACACAACACACACACATATATAAAACACAACACACACATATATAACACAACACACATATATAACACAACACACACATATATAAAACACAACAAACACATATATATAAAACACAACACACATATATAACACAACACACACACATATATATAAAACACAACACACACATATAAATATAAAACACAACAAACACACATATATAACACAACACACACAACACATATATATAAAACACAACACACATACATATATAACACAACACACACACACATATATAACACAACACACACACATATATATAAAACACAACACACACACATATATATAACACAACACACACATATATATATAAAATACAACACACACATATATAACACAACACACACACACATATATAAAACACAACACACACGTGTCACACACACATATATAAATATAAAACACAACACACACGTGTCACACACACATATATAACACACACATATTTAACACAACACACACATATAACACAACACACACATATGTATAAAACACAACACACACATATATATAACACAACACACACACATATATAACACAACACACACATATATATAACACAACACACACATACATATATAAAACACAACACACACACATATATAACACAACACACACACATATATATAACACAACACACACACATATATAAAACACAACACACACGTGTCACACACACACATATATATAACACAACACACATACACATATATAACACAACACACACATATAACACAACACACATATATAACACAACACACATATATATAACACAACACACACATAAATATAAAACACAACACACACATATATATAACACAACACACACGTGTCACACACACACATATATATAACACAACACCACACACATATATATAACACAACACACACACACATATATATAAAACACAACACACACATATATAAAACACAACACACACATATATAAAACACAACACACACACATATTTAACACAACACACACATATAAAACACAACACACACATATATAAAACACAACACACACACATATATATAAAACACAACACACACACATATATAACACAACACATATATATAACACAACACACACGTGTCACACACACACGTGTCACACACACACGTGTCACACACACACGTGTCACACACACGTGTCACACACACGTGTCACACACACACGTGTCACCCACACACGTGTCACACACACACGTGTCACACACACATATATAAATATATAACACAACACAACACACATATATAAACACAACACACACATATATAAATATAAAACACAACACACACAAACACGGCTTGAGGCCTAAAGACGAGCCCCTCGTTATTGACGTGGAAACAGCTTCACGTTTGACCTGAAAGCGTCGTCCTCCATCGTTGGAGGCGATAAGGAGGATAAAAACACCTCTGAACATTCGTGTTGTTGTTGTCTTTGTCTTCTGGTAACTTATTTTAAAATCTAAACCCCGACATTTACACAAACACGGCGGCAGCCAACCCTGCCGGATCATTGAAACCAACCGCCACCCACCAACCACCCTTTTACATTTCCTAGAGCGCATGGGCGAAGCCGGGCGAAACGACGCCTCCGCGCGCGGATTGGCCTCTGACGCGTCGTCGATTTGGGAGGGGGCGGGGCAACGGGGGCGATGGGGCTGACTTATGCGCTGTGCGAAATATAAACGGGTGGCCGGAACTAAAAACAAACCGCCCGGAACACAAAACCGAGGCGACCTTGGACGGCGACCCGCCTAGCGGCCTCGCTGGCCCCGTCAAAGTCGTTCAGTTTCAGTTTTTATTGATTTTATTTATTGATTTATTTTTGGCGTAAGAGCACCAGCGAGAGCCACGCGGCTCTTGAAAATCGGGAGTGCGGCCGCCGACAAACACACAGACTTTAATTACTTAAAAAAACTTTAAAAAACTCCAAGAGAAATTTTTTTTATCTTAAAGTGACTACTTTGTGTGTGTGTGTGGTGACTTTGTGCAAAAAAAAACAGAAAATCCATGGGGGGAAAATTAAACCAGCAAAAAAATATTCCTGAAAAAAAATAGCACAGTTACACCACCAACGCTGTTGGGATGCAAGTCAACAACAACAACTTTAATAATAACAACAACTTTAATAACAACTTTAATAACAACAACTTTAATAACAACAACTTTAATAACAACAACTTTAATAACAACAACTTTAATAACAACAACTTTAATAACAACAACTTTAATAACAACTTTAATAACAACAACTTTAATAACAACTTTAATAACAACAACTTTAATAACAACAACAACTTTAATAACAACAACAACTTTAATAACAACTTTAATAACAACAACAACTTTAATAACAACTTTAATAACAACAACTTTAATAACAACAACTTTAATTACAACAACTTTAATAACAACAACTTTAATAACAACAACTTTAATAACAACAACTTTAATAACAACAACTTTAATAACAACAACTTTAATAACAACAACTTTAATAACAACAACTTTAATAACAACAACAACTTTAATAACAACAACTTTAATAACAACAACTTTAATAACAACAACTTTAATAACAACAACAACTTTAATAACAACAACTTTAATAACAACAACTTTAATAACAACAACTTTAATAACAACAACAACTTTAATAACAACAACTTTAATAACAACAACTTTAATAACAACAACTTTAATAATAACAATAACAACTTTAATAACAACTTTAATAACAACAACAACTTTAATAACAACTTTAATAACAACAACTTTAATAACAACAACTTTAATTACAACAACTTTAATAACAACAACTTTAATAACAACAACTTTAATAACAACAACTTTAATAACAACAACTTTAATAACAACAACTTTAATAACAACAACTTTAATAACAACAACTTTAATAACAACAACTTTAATAACAACTTTAATAACAATAACAACAACTTTAATAACAACAACTACTTTAATAACAACAACTTTAATAACAACAACTTTAATAATAACAACAACTTTAATAACAACAACTTTAATAACAACAACAACTTTAATAACAACAACTTTAATAACAACAACTTTAATAATAACAATAACAACAACTTTAATAACAACTTTAATAACAACAACAACCACTTTAATAACAACAACAACTTTAATAACAACAACTTTAATAACAACAACTTTAATAACAACAACAACTTTAATAACAACAACTTTAATAATAACAACAACAAGACAACTTAGATTAAGGCCATCAGTCTAACTCATAGTTCATAGTCTGTGTGTGTCTGTGTCTACGTGTGTCTGTGTGTGTATCTATGTGTCTGTCTATGTGTCTATGAGTCTCTGCGTGTGTGTGTCACTGAGTCTGTGTGTGTCTATGTGTCTATGTGTCTGTGTGTGTCTATGTGTCTCTGTGTGTGTGTCTATGTGTCTATGTGTCTGTGTGTGTCTATGTGTCTCTGTGTGTCTCTCTGTGTGTCTATGAGTCTGTGTCTCTCTGTGTGTGTCTATGTGTCTATGTGTGTGTCTATGTGTCTCTGTGTGTCTATGAGTCTGTGTCTCTCTGTGTGTGTCTATGTGTCTATGTGTCTGTGTGTGTGTCTATGTGTCTGTGTCTCTCTGTGTGTGTCTATGTGTGTGTCTATGTGTCTGTGTGTGTCTCTGTGTGTGTCACTGAGTCTGTGTGTGTCTATGTGTCTGTGTGTGTCTATGTGTCTATGTGTCTGTGTGTGTCTATGTGTCTCTGTGTGTCTCTCTGTGTGTCTATGAGTCTGTGTCTCTCTGTGTGTGTCTATGTGTCTATGTGTGTGTCTATGTGTCTCTGTGTGTCTCTCTGTGTGTGTCACTGAGTCTGTGTCTCTCTGTGTGTGTCTATGTGTGTGTCTATGTGTCTGTGTGTGTGTCTATGTGTCTGTGTCTCTCTGTGTGTGTCTATGTGTGTGTCTATGTGTCTGTGTGTCTCTCTGTGTGTGTCACTGAGTCTGTGTGTCTATGTGTGTGTGTGTGTCTGTGTGTGTCTATGTGTCTAGGTGTGTGTCTATGTGTCTCTGTGTGTCTCTCTGTGTGTCTATGAGTCTGTGTCTCTCTGTGTGTGTCTATGTGTCTATGTGTGTGTTCAATGTGTCTATGTGTCTATGTGTCTGTGTGTGTCTATGTGTCTCTGTGTGTGTCTATGTGTCTGTGTGTGTCTATGTGTCTCTGTGTGTCTCTCTGTGTGTCTATGAGTCTGTGTCTCTCTGTGTGTGTCTATGTGTCTGTGTGTGTCTCTGTGTGTGTCACTGAGTCTGTGTGTGTCTATGTATCTATGTGTCTCTGTGTGTGTCTATGTGTCTATGTGTGTGTCTCTGTGTCTCTGTGTGTGTCTATGTGTGTGTCTATGTGTCTGTGTGTGTCTATGTGTCTCTGTGTGTCTCTCTGTGTGTCTATGAGTCTGTGTCTCTCTGTGTGTGTCTATGTGTCTATGTGTGTGTCTATGTGTCTCTGTGTGTCTCTCTGTGTGTCTATGAGTCTGTGTCTCTCTGTGTGTGTCTATGTGTCTATGTGTGTCTATGTGTGTGTGTCTATGTGTCTATGTCTCTCTGTGTGTGTCTATGTGTGTGTCTATGTGTCTGTGTGTCTCTGTGTGTGTCACTGAGTCTGTGTGCTTGGAAAGTTGTCGTCGTCTTCGCTGTCTTCGGAGGCCGAGTCCCAGACAGAGTCCCAGACGAACGAATCCGTAGACAGTCTCTACACACACACACACGTACACACACACACACACGTACACACACACACGTACACACACACACACGTACACACACACACACGTACACACACAGACATACACACACACACACGTACACACACACACACATACACACACACACGTACCCACACACACGTACACACACACACACACACACACACGTACACACACACACACGTACACACACGTACACACACACACGTACACACACACACACGTACAAACACACACGTACACACACACGTACACACACACGTACACACACACACGTACACACACACACACGTACACACACACGTACACACACACGTACACACACACGTACACACACACACACGTACACACACACGTACACACACACACACGTACACACACACACACGTACACACACACACACATGTACACACACACACACGTACACACACACACGTACACACACACTCACATGTACACACACACACACGTACACACAGACATACACATGTACACACACACACACACGTACACACACGTACACACACACACACACGTACACACACACACACGTACACACACACGTACACATACACACGTACACACACACACACACACGTACACACACACACGTACACACACACACACGTACACACACACACACGTACACACACACACACGTACACACACACACACGTACACACACACACACGTACACACACACACACACGTACACACACACACGTACACACACGTACACACACACACGTACACACACACACATGTACACACACACACACGTACACACACAGACATACACACACACACACGTACACACACACACACACGTACACACACACACACGTACACACACACACACGTACACACACACACACGTACACACACACACACGTACACACACAGACATACACACACACACACGTACACACACACACACGTACACACACACACGTACACACACACGTACACACACGTACACACACACACACGTACACACACACACACGTACACACACACACACACGTACAAACACACACGTACACACACACACGTACACACACACACGTACACACACACACGTACACACACACACACGTACACACACACGTACACACACACGTACACACACACACGTACACACACACACACGTACACACACACGTACACACACACGTACACACACACACACGTACACACACACACATGTACACACACACGTACACACACACACGTACACACACACACTCACATGTACACACACACACACGTACACACACAGACATACACATGTAAACACACACACACACGTACACACACGTACACACACACACACACGTACACACACACACACGTACACACACACGTACACATACACACGTACACACACACACACACGTACACACACACACGTACACACACACACGTACACACACACGTACACACACACACACGTACACACACACACACGTACACACACACACACACACGTACACACGTACACACACACACACGTACACACACACACGTACACACACGTACACACACACACGTACACACACACACACGTACACACACACACGTACACACACGTACACACACACATGTACACACACACACACACGTACACACACACATGTACACACACACACACACGTACACACACACACACACGTACACACACACACGTACACACACACATGTACACACACACATACACGTACACACGTACACACACACACGTACACACACACACGTACACACACACACACGTACACACACACGTACACACACACACACGTACACACACACACACGTACACATACACGTACACACACACACACGTACACACACACACGTACACACACACACACGTAAACACACACACGTACACGTACACACACACACGTACACACACACACACGTACACACACACACACACGTACACACACAGACATACACATGTACACACACACATACACACACGTACACACACACACACGTACACACACACACGTACACACACACACACGTACACACACACACACGTACACACACACACGTACACACACACACACACGTACACACACACACACGTACACACACAGACATACACATGTACACACACACATACACACACGTACACACACACACACACGTACACACACACACACATACACACACACACACGTACACACACACACACACGTACACACACACACACACGTACACACACACACACGTACACACACACACGTACACACACACACGTACACACACACACACACGTACACACACACACACGTACACACACACGTACACATACACACGTACACACACACACGTACACACACACACGTACACACACACACGTACACGTACACACACATGTACACACACACACGTACACATGTACACACACACACACACGTACACACACACGTACACACACACACACACACGTACACACACACACACGTACACACACACACACGTACACACACACGTACACACACACACACACGTACACACACACACACGTACACACACACACACGTACACACACACACACATGTACACACACACACACGTACACACACACACACACGTACACACACAGACATACACATGTACACACACACACGTACACACACACACACGTACACACACACGTACACACACACACGTACACGTACACACACACACGTACACACACACACACACATGTACACACACACACACACGTACACACACACACACGTACACACACACACACACGTACAGACACACACACACGTACACACACACACACGTACACACACACACACAGACATACACATGTACACACACACACTCACGTACACACACACACGTACACGTACACACACACACGTACACACACACACGTACACACACACGTACACACACATGTACACACACATGTACACACACACACGTACACACACAGACATACACATGTACACACACACACACACGTACACACACACGTACACACACACACGTACACACACACACACACGTACACACACACACACACACGTACACACACACACACATGTAGACACACACACGTACACACACACGTACACACACACACACGTACACACACACACACACGTACACACACATATGTACACACACACACACGTACACACACAGACATACACATGTACACACACACACATACACACACGTACACACACACACACGTACACACACGTACACACACACGTACACACACGTACACACACACACACGTACACACACACACACGTACACACACACACACACGTACACACACACACGTACACACACACACACACACGTACACACACACATGTACACACACACACACACGTACACACACAGACATACACATGTACACACACACACATCAACAACAACAACCGCCATTCGCCACTAAGTGGCGGTGACGTCACCACGACGCTTGTGCCAGGCTATGTGCACCGTGAGGCCACGTGAAGTGTCGAACGCCCGCTGGCAGGAGGTCACTGGGCAGACCCAGGTGCCACGGGTCGACTGACTGAGATGACTGGCTGATGCACCACCTGTGCCCCCTACTGTGCCAACCTGCTGTGCTTTAGCCACCCGGCGTTCCGCTCGTTGTTGTGAGCGTCGCTCCTCCGCCCTCCGTTGTTGTTGGAGGGCGACTGCCTCCAACTGCCCAGTAGCATCCTTCACGAGCCTCCTCCACAGAGGCCGTTCTTGACACCGCTGGTACCAGTCATCGGCAAGTCCACTCAGCTCCACGTCCTCCTGTACCACATCACTCCATCTCTTCTCTAGCCCGTGCCGCGCCCGCTTAGCCCCCTCAATCCGGCCAAACAAAAGCTGTTTCGGCATGCGGTGGCTGGGCATGCGGGCTACATGACCCAGCCATCGCAGCCTTGCCTGCCGGAGGAGCTCACCGATGGGACCCTGCCCAGATCTTTCAAGGATTTGTGAGCTCCTCACACAATCCAGTCTGGTTAAACCCAGGATGGATCGTAGGCAGGCCAGCCTAAATGTTTCTAACCGGCGAAGATGTTCCACCTAGGGGGGTCCACGTTTCGCAAGCGTAGAGAAGGGAGGGAATGACCGTGGCCGAGAAGACCTGAAGCTTAGTGCGGAGCGACAGACCAGGTAGCTTCCACACAGCGTTACGCAACCGATGAAAAGATATTGCCGCTCGACTGATTCGGAGTGAGACCTCTGCTGTTAAACTGGAGCCAGTCATAAGCACACTGCCCAGGTATGGGAAACTCTCCACTCTCTCCACAACTGCCCCATCACCGATTGGGAGTTGTGGGGGTGGAGTGTCCGATGGTACAAAATACCCAGGCAGGTGCTTAGTTTTGGTGGGGCTGATGGTAAGGCCCCACCTCTTAGTGGCACGCTCCAGTCTCAGCAGCAGCGTCTCCAACTCCTCCTCTGACTGAGCAGCTATTACCAAGTCATCAGCATACATAACGTGGTTGAGCAATAGGGAGCCATCCCTTGACCGCACCCGGGCATCGATTAGCCTCCCATTATATCTGTACCATATGGAGATTCCCCCGGTACAGCTATTGAAGGCTTCACGAACTACGTGGTCAAAATAGATGTTAAATAATGTGGGAGCCAGAGGACATCCCTGTCGCACCCCAAGGTGTACAGGGAATGGCTCTGACTCCCGGCCACGTAGTTTTACCCGGGCCCGCTCACCATCATGAAGGTCCTTAATGATCGTGAGCAGAGGGTCAGGTACTCCAAAAGCACGAAGAACGACCCAGAGCCCAGGCCTACTGATGGTATCATAGGCCTTGACCAGGTCAATAAAGCAGAGATGTAGGTCTTGTTGGAATTCCCTACACCTCTGCTGTAGCAGACGGACAGAAAATATGGCATCTGTGCAGGACCGCCCTTTCCTGAAACCGCATTGGGGCTCCGCAAGCCTCTCCTCAGCGTGCCTGGCCAAGGCGATGCTGAATAATCCTTGCCAGGACCTTTCCCGGCACACTGAGGAGTGAGATGCCCCTGTAGTTGTTACAGTCTGTGCGGTCCCCCTTCTTAAAAAGGGGGACCACCAGGGCATCCTTCCAATCCTGCGGAACCCGTCCAGTGGTCCAGACTGTTGTTATGATGTCATATAGGGCAGTCTGTGCACAAACGCCACCCTCCCTCAGCATTTCGCTTGGGAGATCATCTCTGCCCGCTGCCTTTCCTGGTCTCAGACTCCGGATCGCCTTCAATACTTCCTCAGCAGATGGAACCTCAGCCAGCCACTCACAGGGGGTGACTTCATCCAATATTTGAGGCACCGCAGCCTCAGCAGGGTCATCCTCACTTTGTGCCACGATGTTTTCCTGGCTGAGGGATTTTCCCTCCCCCAGGACCTCACAGAAATGCTCAGCAAATCTGCGAACCTGTTCCTGGGGGTCGGAAATTGGATCACCGTTTTTTCCCCTAATGATGGTAATAGGTGTGGCGCTGCAGGTTACTTTTTTGACTGGAGTTAAATAGAGATTTGTGATCACGGGCCACTGAGGCAGACTCCATCTCCTCAGCAACCCGCGACCACCACCCATCCTTGCAGCGCCTCACGGCTCTCCGAACCTCCGAGCGAAGGCTGCGGTAAGCCTCCTCATTCTCTGACGTGGGATTCTGTAGCCGATGACAGTGGGCCTGTCGCTTTTTCTCAACCATCCTGAACAACTCCTCTGTCATCCAGGGTGTCTGGGGAGGTCTGGACCGCGTACCCAAAGCAGCCATTGCAGCTGCATGAGTCACAGTCCTAAACCTCGCCCATTTACCCTCGACATCAGGAGGAGTCGGGGACGATGCCAATCCCAGCCGCAAGCGATGATGAAATTCTCGCTTGCAACTTTCATCAGATAACTGAGACCAGGCCACTTTAGGTTGGAATGGGGTCCTGGGTGTACACCCACCACCGGAGTGGAAGAATGGCAGGCGCATCTTACAGATGACTAGTCGATGGTCAGAGGGCAGATCAGCTCCACGGTAGGTCCTGGTGTCAAGGACATGGGCTCGCATTCGCTGGTCCGTCACTATGTAGTCCAGCAGATGTTCTTGCTTGGACCCGGCATGCATCCATGATGTTGTGTGGATGCGCCGATGCCGGAACAGCGTGTTGGTAATTACAAGCCCATGGGCTGCACAAAAATCTAGCAGCCTCCTACCGTTGTTATTGAGCTGATCTGGCCCATGCCCTCCAATCACTCCAGACCAGGTGCCAGTATCATGACCAACTCGGGCATTGAAGTCACCCAACATGATGACTCTATCCCGAGGGGCCACTTTAGCCAGCACCTGTGACAGGAGGTCATAGAAGGCATCTGACTCATCGGCTTTGCCTGCATCCCTCCACGGATGTTCATCTTCGGTGGGGGCATAAGTAACCACGACCACCATTCCTCGCCTCCGGTTGATGGGAAGGCGAGCCCAAAGTAGCCTGGGGCTTACAGCTTCCCACACCTCACCGCCACGCTCCCACGCCCCCTTCATTCTTTTGTTCAAAAGAAGACCCACACCCTGTTGTTTGGCAGTCTGCTGCCCCGAGTAGAGGACTGTCCACCCCTCATGGTGGCAGGAGCCAGAGCCGGTCCACCGGACCTCCTGAATGCCGCATAGATCCAGGCGGTACCGGTCCAGCTCCCGACAGAGGAGTGGCAGCCTCTCCTCTGCACTAACACACACACACACGTACACACACACACACGTACACACACACACGTACACACACACACGTACACACACGTACACACACACACGTACACACACACACGTACACACACAAACAAAGATCCCCCGTATAGCCTTAACAGACTGTAGGGGCAAGTGCTGTTAGCGAGCACCTATGAAGGCCGGAACGGTACACGAGGGGGTGGGTGGCCAGCACCATGCCCGCCCGCCTTTGTCTCCCTAGTGGCAATGTTTACACACCGCACCAGGTACTCATTTGAGGCTGAGTCGACCTAGGGGAGGCCCGGGACCGGTTCAGATAATCGTCACTGGTGTTGGCCGTGAGCGAGAATCGAACCCGTGTCGCCGGGTTCATAGCGCAGCGCGCTAACCGCTACACTATCGCTGTGTACACACACACACACGTACACACACACGTACACACACACACACACGTACACACACACACACACACATGTACACACACGTACACACACACACACACGTACACACACACACGTACACACACACACACGTACACACACACACGTACACACACACACACGTACACACACACACACGTACACACACACGTACACACGTACACACACACACACGTATACACACACACACGTACACACACGTACACACACACACACACGTACACACACACACGTACACACACACACACGTACACACACGTACACACACACGTACACACACACGTACACACACGTACACACACGTACACACACGTACACACACACACACGTACACACACACACACGTACACACACACACGTACACACACACACGTACACACACACACACGTACACACACACCCACGTACACACACACACACGTACACACACACACGTACACACACACACGTACACACACACGTACACACACACACACGTACACACACGTACACACACGTACACACACACACACGTACACACACACACACGTACACACACGTACACACACACACACACACGTACACACACACACACGTACACATACACACGTACACACACACACACGTACACACACACACACACGTACACACACACACGTACACACACACACACCTTAGAGCCGGCCGGTGGCCCCCAGCTGCGTCTTAGCTTCTTCCGCTCCATTCCTCGGCCGAAGACGGGGCTGTGGGTAACCACATTGACAACACTCACCCACAGCGGCACGCACCACACAGAGACCCACAGACATCACCACACAGAGACACGTGTACGTTTACGTGTGTGTGTATGTATGTGTGTGTATGTATGTATATGTGTGTATGTATGTGTATGTATGTGTGTGTATGTATGTGTATGTATGTGTATGTATGTATGTATATGTGTGTGTATGTATGTGTATGTATGTATGTATATGTGTGTATGTATGTGTATGTATGTGTGTATGTATGTATATGTGTGTATGTATGTGTATGTATGTGTGTGTATGTATGTGTATGTATGTGTATGTATGTATGTATATGTGTGTATGTATGTATATGTGTGTATGTATGTATATGTGTGTGTATGTATATGTGTATGTATGTATGTATATGTGTGTATGTATGTGTATGTATGTATATGTGTGTGTATGTATGTGTATGTATGTATGTATATGTGTGTATGTATGTATGTATATGTGTGTGTACCTGTGTGTGTACCTGTGTGTATGTACCTGTGTGTGTACCTGTGTGTGTACCTGTGTGTGTGTACCTGTGTGTGTACCTGTGTGTGTGTACCTGTGTGTATGTATCTGTGTGTGTACCTGTGTGTGTGTACCTGTGTGTGTGTACCTGTGTGTATGTATCTGTGTGTGTACCTGTGTGTGTGTACCTGTGTGTGTACCTGTGTGTGTGTACCTGTGTGTGTACCTGTGTGTGTGTACCTGTGTGTGTACCTGTGTGTGTACTTGTGTGTGTCTACCTGTGTGTGTACCTGTGTGTGTACCTGTGTGTGTGTACCTGTGTGTATGTACCTGTGTGTGTGTACCTGTGTGTGTGTACCTGTATGTGTGCCTGTGTGTGTACCTGTGTGTGTACCTGTTTGTGTGTGTACCTGTGTGTGTGTGTGCCTGTGTGTGTACCTGTGTGTGTACCTGTGTGTGTCTACCTGTGTGTGTACCTGTGTGTGTGTACCTGTGTGTATGTACCTGTGTGTGTGTACCTGTGTGTGTGTACCTGTGTGTGTGTACCTGTGTGTATGTACCTGTGTGTGTGTGTACCTGTGTGTGTGTACCTGTGTGTGTACCTGTGTGTGTGTGTGACTGTGTATGTGACTGTGTGTGTGACTGTGTGTGTGTGACTGTGTGTGTGCGTGACTGTGTGTGTGACTGTGTGTGTGTATGACTGTGTGTGTGTGACTGTGTGTGTGTGTGTGTGACTGTGTATGTGACTGTGTGTGTGTGACTGTGTGTGTACTGTGTGTGGGGAGCGATAGTGTAGCGGTTAGCGCTACGCCGCGCTATGAACCTGGCGACCCGGGTTTGATTCCCGCTCACGGCCAACACCAACAGTGACGATTATTTGAACCGGTCCTGGGCCTCCCCTAGGTCGACTCAGCCTCAAATGAGTACCTGGTGCGGTGTGTAAACATCGCCACTAGGGAGACAAAGGCGGTCGGGCGTGGTGCTGGCCACCCACCCCCTCGAGTACCGTTCCGGCCTTCATAGGTGCTCGCTAACAGCACTTGCCCCTACAGTCTGTTAAGGCTATATGGGGGATCTTTGTTTGTTTTGTATGTGTGTGTATGTGTGTATGTATGTGTGTGTGTATGTGTGTGTATATGTGTATCTGTGTGTGTATATATGTATATATATGTATATGTGTGTATATATGTATATGTGTGTATATATGTATATATCTGTGTGTATATGTGTGTGTGTATGTGTGTGTATGTGTGTGTGTATGTGTGTATGTGTGTGTGTGTGTATCTGTGTGTATATATGTATATATATGTATATGTGTGTATATATGTGTATATGTGTGTATATGTGTATGTGTGTGTATCTGTGTGTATATATATGTATATATGTGTATATGTGTGTATGTGTGTGTGTGTGTATCTGTGTGTATATATGTATATATATGTATATGTGTGTATATATGTATATATGTGTATATATATACGTATGTATATGTGTATATATACATGTGTATGTGTACCTGTGTTTCCCCAGCCCCAGGTGAGGGAGGGACACTCCATGGCTGCCCCTCCCCCTGTGGCTCCGCTGACGCTTGATGCCGGCGTGGGAGGAGGAGGAGGCCCCCACCTCCTCACTGTCGCCCTTCTCATCATCCACCTCATCATCATCATCACCCTTCTCATCATCCACCTCCTCACCCTTCTCATTATCCACCTCCTCACCCTTCTCATCCTTCACCTCCTCACCCTTCTCTTTCACATCATCACCCTTCTCATCCTCCACCTCCTCCTCCTCACCCTTCTCATCATCCACCTCCTCACCCTTCTCATCCTCCACCTCCTCCTCCCCACCCTTCTCATCCTTCACCTCATCACCCTTCTCATCCACCTCATGGCCCTTCTCATCCTCCACCTCCTCCTCCTCACCCTTCTCATCCTTCACCTCCTCACTCTTCACCTCCTCCTCCCCACCCTTCTCATCCTCCTCCACCTCCCCACCCTTCTCATCATCCTCCACCTCCCCCTCCTCCTTCTCATCCTCCTCCTCCCCACCCTTCTCATCCTCCACCTCCTCGCTCTTCTCCTCCATCATCACCGCCACCTCCTCGCCCTTCCTGGCGGCGCCGCCGCCGCCAGCGGCCACGGCACCGCCCTGCCGGTCACCGACGTCACCGTCACCGTCACCGTCGCCGCCGCCGTCGCCGCCCAACGTTGCCGTCCGGACACCGCACGGCAACGGCCCGGCACTGCCTCGGTCTGAAGCCATCCTGGAGCCATCAGAGACACGCGGTGAAGACGCCGCCCCCCTCCTCCTCCTCCAACTCATCCTCCTCCTACTACTACTCATCCTACTCATCATCCTCCTCCTCATCCTACTACTACTCATCCTCCTCCTCCTCCTCCTACTACTCATCCTACTACTACTCATCCTACTACTCATCCTACTACTCATCCTCCTCCTCCTCCTCCTCCTACTACTCATCCTACTACTCATCCTACTACTCATCCTACTACTCATCCTACTACTCATCCTCCTCCTCCTCCTCCTACTACTCATCCTACTACTCATCCTACTACTCATCCTCCTACTCATCCTACTACTCATCCTACTACTCATCCTACTACTCATCCTACTACTCATCCTACTACTCATCCTACTCCTACTCCTCCTACTCATCCTCCTCCTACTCATCCTACTACTACTCATCCTACTACTCATCCTACTACTCATCCTCCTACTCATCCTACTACTCATCCTACTACTCATCCTCCTACTCATCCTACTACTCATCCTACTCCTACTCCTCCTACTCATCCTCCTCCTACTCATCCTACTACTACTCATCCTACTACTCATCGTACTACTCATCCTCCTCCTACTACTCATCCTACTACTCATCCTACTACTCATCCTACTACTCATCGTACTACTCATCCTCCTCCTCCTCATCCTACTACTCATCCTACTACTCATCCTACTCCTACTCCTCCTACTCATCCTACTACTCATCCTACTCCTACTCATCCTCCTACTACTACTCATCCTACTCATCCTCCTACTCATCCTACTACTCATCCTCCTCCTACTCATCCTCCTACTACTCCTCCCCCTCCTCCTCCTACTCCTCCCCCTCATCCTCCTACTCATCCTCCTCCTCCCCCTCATCCTCCTACTCATCCTACTCATCCTCCTCCTACTCATCCTCCTACTCATCCTCCATCTCCTACTCATCCTCCTCCTCCTACTCATCCTCCTCCTCCCCCTCCTCCTCCTCCCCCTCCTCCTCCTCCTCCTCCTCCCCCTCCTCCTCCCCCTCCTCCCCCCTCCTCCTCCTCCTCCGTACGATCGCCTGCAATGAGACCCTTGGGGTGCGAGCCGCCGGTAACATTGCGGGGTTGGTGGGGGGCCAAGTGGTGAGCGCCCGGACCCCCCTGGACCCCCTTTGTCTCCCCGGCGAGCGGTGCGGCGTGACCCCCGCCCCCCCCGCACGGAGCCCCTCGACACCCCGCGGGGGTCAAGGTCACCGTGACCTTGACCCCCGCGGGGAGCGGCGAGCGAGGAGTCGGTCCTGGGCCTCCCCCTGGGGTCGACTCAGGCTAAAACTAAAATAGAGACACCGGGGGGCGCCGTGGCGAAGTTGGCGGCCGGGGGGAGACAAAGGCGGCCGGGCAGGGGGGCGGCGCCGGTGGCCCCCTTCGTAAGCGCCGCTGCTGCTGCTGCTCGCCACTAGCGGCACTCGCTCCGACAGCCTCCAAGGCTACGTGGGGGATCTTTGTCTTTGTGTTTGCCTCTAAAATCTCATTCATGGACTACTCACACAGAGACCCACAGACTACTCACACAGAGACCCATAGACTCACCACACAGAGACCCATAGACTACTCACACAGAGACCCATAGACTACTCACACAGAGACCCATAGACTACTCACACAGAGACCCATAGACTACTCACACAGAGACCCAAAGACTCAGCACACAGAGATCCATAGACTCACCACACAGAGACCCATAGACTCACCACATAGAGACCCATAGACTCACCACATAGAGACCCATAGACTCACCACGCAGAGACCCATAGACTACTCACACAGAGACCCATAGACTACTCACACAGAGACCCATAGACTCACCACACAGAGACCAATAGACTCACCACACAGAGACCCACAGACTACTCACACAGAGACCCATAGACTCATCACACAGAGACCCATAGACTCACCACACAGAGACCCATAGACTCATCACACAGAGACCCACAGACTACTCACACAGAGACCCACAGACTCATCACACAGAGACCCATAGACTCACCACACAGAGACCCATAGACTCACCACACAGAGACCCATAGACCCATCACACAGAGACCCATAGACTACTCACACAGAGACCCATAGACTCACCACACAGAGGACCCATAGACTCACCACACAGAGATCCACAGACTCACACAGAGACTATTAGACTCACACAGAGACCCATAGACTCATCACACAGACACCCATAGACTACTCACACAGAGACCCATAGACTACTCACACAGAGACCCATAGACTACTCACACAGAGACCCATAGACTACTCACACAGAGACCCATAGACTCACCACACAGAGATCCATAGACTCACCACACAGAGACCCATAGACTCACCACATAGAGACCCATAGACTCACCACACAGAGACCCATAGACTCACCACACAGAGACCCATAGACTACTCACACAGAGACCCATAGACTACTCACACAGAGACCCATAGACTCACCACACAGAGACCCATAGACTCACCACACAGAGACCCACAGACTACTCACACAGAGACCCATAGACTCATCACACAGAGACCCATAGACTCACCACACAGAGACCCATAGACTCATCACACAGAGACCCACAGACTACTCACACAGAGACCCACAGACTCATCACACAGAGACCCATAGACTCACCACACAGAGACCCATAGACTCACCACACAGAGACCCATAGACTCATCACACAGAGACCCATAGACTACTCACACAGAGACCCATAGACTCACCACACAGAGACCCATAGACTCACCACACAGAGATCCACAGACTCACACAGAGACTATTAGACTCACACAGAGACCCATAGACTCATCACACAGACACCCATAGACTACTCACACAGAGACCCATAGACTACTCACACAGAGACCCACAGACTCACACAGAGACCCATAGACTACTCACACAGAGACCCATAGACTACTCACACAGAGACCCATAGACTACTCACACAGAGACCCACAGACTCACACAGAGAATATTAGACTCACACAGAGAAATTAGACTCACAGAGAGAAAATTAGACTCACACAGAGAAAATAAGACTCACACAGAGACCCATTGACTCGCATAGATACCCATAGACTCACACAAAGACCCATAAACTACTCTCACAAAGACCCATAGACTACTCACACAAAGTCCCATAGATTCACACAGAGACCCATAGACTACTCACACAGAGACCCATAGACTACTCACACAAAGTCCCATAAACTCACACAGAGACCCATAGACTACTCACACAGAGACCCACAGACTACTCACACAGAGACCCACAGACTCACACAGAGAAAATTAGACTCACACAGAGACCCACTGACTAGCATAGAGACCCATTGACTCACACAAAGTCCCATAAACTCACACAGAGACCCATAGACTACTCACACAGAGACCCATAGACTACTCACACAGAGACCCATTGACTACTCACACAGAGACCCACTGACTAGAATAGAGACCCATTGACTCACCCAAAGACCCATAGACTCACCACACAGAGACCCATAGACTACTCACACAGAGACCCACAGACTCACACAGAGAAAATTAGACTCACACAGAGACCCATTGACTCGCATAGAGACCCATTGACTCACACAGATACCCATAGACTACTCACAAGGAGACCCATAGACTACTCACACAGATACCCATAGACTCATCACACAGACACCCATAGACTACTCACACAGAGACCCATAGACTACTCACACAGATACCCATAGACTCACACAAAGACCCATAGACTACTCACACAAAGTCCCAAAAACTCACACAGAGACCCATAGACTACTCACACAGAGATCCACAGACTCACACAGAGACCCATAGACTACTCACACAGAGACCCAGACTCACACAGAGACCCATAGACTCACACAAAGACCCATAGACTACTCACACAAAGACCCATAAACTCACACAGAGACCCACTGACTCACACAGAGACCCACAGACTACTCACACAGAGAAAATTAGACTCACACAGAGACCCATAGACTACTCACACAGAGACCCACAGACTACTCACACAGAGACCCACAGACTACTCACACAGAGACCCATAGACTACTCACACAGAGACCCATAGACTACTCACACAGAGACCCATAGACTACGCACACAGAGACCCATAGACTCACCACACAGAGATCCACAGACTCACACAGAGACCCATAGACTACGCACACAGAGATCCACAGACTCACACAGAGACCCACTGACTCGCATAGAGACCCATTGACTCACACAGAGACCCATAGACTACTCACACAAAGATCCA